TAGATCAAGGGCAAACACAACAATGGGATTGGACTATGAGCACATGATAAAAGCGAGAGCACACAAGGGAGGGGTGAGGATAGGTAAGACACCTAAAAAATTAGCATTTGTTGCCCTTAATGCAGAGAAACTAAAGCAGATACCTTAAAAGCAACTGAGGCCAATGGGAAAAGGGGACCAGGAACTAGAGAAAAGGTTAGATCAAAAAGAATTAACCTAGAAGGTAACACCCACGCACAGGAAATCAATGTGTGTCAATGCCCTGTATAGCTATCCTTATCTCAACCAGCAAAAACCCTTGTTCCTTCCTATTATTGCTTATACTCTCTCTACAACAAAATTAGAAATAAGGGCAAAATAGTTTCTGCTGGGTATTGAGGGAGTGGGGGGGGAGAGGGAGGGGGTGGAGGGGGTGGGGGCAGGGGGGAGAAATGACCCAAGCCTTGTATGAACATATGAATAATAATAGAAAAAAAAATTTAAAAAAAATTTTTTTTGTCGGGGGGGGGGCTGGTATTGTAGTTTGAACTCAGGGCCAAGTGCTCTACCGCTTGAGCCATGCCCCCAGCTCTGCCTCTTTCCCTCTGTCCAGTGCTTGTCCTCTTTTCTATGTGTATCCATGAAGCAAACCCAAAGAACCCAATAAGCAAACTTTTCCTAACTAGTTTGCATCTGGTGCGTGCTATGGTTTGAGTACCAATGCATGAGGCCCATGGGATTTTAAATGACCAAGAAGAAATGTACAGATACGGAATAGCAGGGTGAAAAGAGAGCTAGGCTGAGATTCAGGATACCTGGATTCTAGTCTTATTGTTTTTTATAACCAGCAGTGTGGTCTTTCTGAGAAGAGCAGGAGTGGTGGTACAGCAGAAGATTAAGAACACTGGCTTTAGCATCTTAAGCCTTGAGTTCAAATTCTATTCTGGTTGAGTTACCTTAGATAAGTTACTTAACTCCTTGAGCCCCATCTGCATGATATAAAGAATACCTTTCTTCCTAAGTGGTCAGAACTGAGATCGTATGTGTAAGGCACTTAACAATACCTGCTTTTTTTTTCAGTTCAGAGAGAAATGAAGAGATCATGAAAGGCTCAGAAAATGTGAGGGACAGTTGAAGGACTAAGAAAGCTTATCTTCATAACAAAGAAGATGTGGGGAAAGAGTGAAATTTGTCTTTTAAGTTTTTATGTGAAAGGGAGAGTAAAACATGGTTCCAGGGGACAGGATGAAATGGAACCAACAGGTAGAACTTACAGGCAAGTCCAGTCATGGTGCAAAGAGAGCCTGAAAATTAGAGCAACCTGTCGTGGAAATTGAAGCATTAGCATTCATGCCCTTGGCAACATGAGCCTGTGGTCTAATGACCTCCAGTCTGTTATACTGGGAAGGGGGCTGTCTTTTTGCTGGGAGAGGGATAAGCAAAAATTCTGATTGTCACATTTAGCTTACTCCATCCTCCAACTACCTGTGGAATATTCCATTCACTCTTGATGCACTGTCATCTAGGAAGTTTACAAAGCACTTAGTTTTATGTATGATGGGTTGTGTTTCTAGTAGTGATGACTCTTCCCATTGATAAGGGCTTTTTTTGGGGGGGGGAAGGGTGAATAAGCTCCATTCTCTCCAACTCAAGTATATTTGCTGCTGTTCTACTGCCCATATATTTCTTTCAAGCCTTCATTCTTGATGTCATGGGACTGCCAGAACAATTTCCTTCTCTTTGGAGAACCTCATCATGTGAAAGTCACTGCTGATATGAGTTTTCCTCCCCTTGCTTGGGGTCTGTAGACTTTAATACAACAGCTGTCCAGGCAAGGAGAGGATGCTCCCTGGGCCCCACCTTGCAGCAGAGCCAGTTGGGAGAGAAATTCTCTGCTTTAACCTGGGTTTAGTCAGGTGAGATGACTGGTTTTGTAGCTATAAGCCCAGATTTTCTTTTTGCTGTCATCAAAGGCAAGTGCCAACTATTTAGAGTCTTGGTTTCTCTCTCCAGCTTAATTTTTGGACAATTGACAAGAAGAGGAGCATTGACTTTTGTAGATACTGCATGGCAGGGATGACGCATAAGAAGTATGAATTAAACGCAGTCCACAATTAAAGGTCTTAAGATTCCCTTTTGTGCTGTTTCTAGTTCTGCTTGTTATTCCATATTTGTCTTCTACAGTGTCTTATATTCTCACCAGAGCCTCCAATAACTCCCTAAGGAAGGGAATGTATTCATCATACACATGGGACAACCCAGACTTAGGGGAATTATGTGACTCATTCAACCACAGTGTCATGTGCAAAACCCAGAGTTAGAACCCAAGGGATAATATGGATTTGACTTTTTTACTTATGGACTCTAGAGCCAGGTTCATGTTAATGAAGAAGTGAAAGCTGAACCCCTTTATTTAATTAAATCTTCTTATTTAATTTCCACAAATACTTTTGTGGCTGTTTGAATGGCAGGTGCTGGGGATGCAAAGCACTCAGAAACCCAAACCTTGCTCAAAAACTTTTGGGGGACAAATGCATAGATAGTGGTTTTGTGACAATGTGATCACTAATGTGACTGAGGAAGTCAGGTAATAATGGACAAATGCATAGATAGTGGTTTTGTGACAATGTGATCACTAATGTGACTGAGGAAGTCAGGTAATAATGGAGCTTCAGGAGCGGCACCATCCTGGCCTGAGGTGAGGGAAAGTTTCTGTGTAGTAAGAGACAAATAATTTGAGACCCAAGAGGCAAGGGGATTCCAGGAGGAAAGAATAGCATATGTGCAGGCATGAAGATAGGAGGGTCTAAAAAAGTGCCACAGCCTAAGGAAAAGAGATTGGAGAGGAAGAGGTGCTCTTTCATAGGCTGCATTAAGGATTTTAGCTTTAGCTGATGGGCAGAAGGAAGTTGGTGAAGGGCTTTAAGCCTAGGAATGTGGCCTAATTGGATCTGAGTTATAGAGGAAAGAAAAAAAATCACTCGGTAGGGGGCATGGCTCAAGTGGTAGAGCATCTGCCTAGCATGTGCAAGGCCCTGCAGACTTCAAACCCCACTACAATCCCTAAAAACAAAAGAAAAAAATAAAGGGAGGGAAGAGAAGAGAAAGGAAGGGAAGGAAAGGAAAAATCACTTGGCAGCATGCAGAGGATGAGCAGGAGGCCTGAATGTATGTATTTGCTGATGCCCTTCCTCCTTTATGGAGATTATTGGGCAGCTCTGGTGAGAATGCCAAACACTGTAGAAGACAAAATCCATCCTTACAGTTTAGTGCTGATGTTGCCCTCATGCTCACTGCCAGCCATGGGCTAGTGATATGGGCTAGTGAGTCTTTTATGCTTAAGCAGAGAATGAGGGTCTGCAAATGGACAATTTTGTTTTAACCTCCTTGATTTGACAAATCTGTGTGGAGAGGAACATTAAACAGGGTGTTAACATCATGATGGTTTATTCTGACAAAATCATTGACAAATGCCAGTCTCACTTGGTGGCAAATACCTCCTTGAAGAAACATAAAATCTACCCTTGTGAGGAGGGATACCTGGAAAGTGCCAGGTATAGAGAGGGTTCCCAGGAATTGTTCATTCCTTTCTCCTTTTTCCTGACCTTCCTTAACACTGTTCCATCGTAGAATAAAAGCTGGAACTCTTACAGTCCCTACAACACCTAATATGGTCTGACCCACTTCCTCTCTGCGCTTCTGTTCTGGTTCACTTTGCCATACCAGCACTGGACCATCTTGTGGTTTCTTGAGTTGCCAACACACTCCCACTTGAAGACCCTCTGATACCTGCATGGCTTGTTTCTTCATCTTTCTCAAGTTTTTGTTCAAGTGCCACTTCAATGAGACTTATCCTAACCATCTGTAAAACCCCAGCTCTGCCCCCACTTCCCTGTGTGCTTTCAGCTCTGTTTCTCTCCATAGCCCTTCCAACATGTTACATAGTTTTAACTACTTAAATGTTTTAAATGAAAAATTAATTTTTATTATTTAGTTTGATCATGTCTCTTGCAGTGACATGTAAGTTTCACAAAAACAGGAAGTTTTTCCTGTCTTATTCATTGCAGCATCTTCAGTGCTTGAATAGTTCTAGGCTCTTAGTTTGCTGAATGAGTGAACCCCTGTTCAGTTCTGTACCAAAAGTCTTGTTTTGGTGCCATAAAAGTTTTGGATGGATGATAGCAAAATCCTAAGTGCCTTTCCCATGAGGAAGTAGTGGTCTGTGGGATGGTGTTGAGCAGAGGCTATATGTATAGTAGATGCTCAAAACCACATATTTAAGAAACGTTTAAAGCAGCCCCTTTAAACTTCAGAACAAAATAGAGCATGTACACTAATGAATGAAGCTTATGAATGAATTCCTTGCAAAACAGAACCATTGGGAAATAGTCCATCTTCCCCTTTTTACATGTAATCCATTAGATCAGATATGTACCACCCCCACAAACCCTCAGTTTGCTCTGAATAGTGGGATATCCTTCACAGATTGTAAGGATTAAATAAAATAACAAATGTAAAATAGCACATATCTTGCATTCTATACCAAAACTAGCTACTAAAAACATTCTAGAATCCTTTCTGAATCTACACTTTTGTTCTACCCAGCTAAATAAGACTATACTTGGTTATATGTTTCCCTTGTCTTTCTGTTCTTCCCTTCTGAAGTTTGGACTTCATGAACAATACTGGTCAGATCTTTGTTTATCTATAAAGTCTTGTCTGGTCATGACAGTTTTCAGGTCTCATCTCCTCATTTCACTTGTGTTTAAGATGCTCCAAAGCAAATAGGATTCTTGCCTGTGCTACTCAAACTGCTTGCTTTGGATGGTGATTGCTTTGAAATTCTCTTTCTTCCTTGCCCTGTTTATACACATATTGGTAAGTGTTCAGAAATGAAGGAAGACAAGCTTGGTAGGTTCTTCCACACCCACCAAAGATTAGAAGTACAACTGATGAATAATAACATTTCCTACTGTTCTACAAACTACCTCTACCTAATCCTAGTTCTCCTCTCATTTCAGAGTGCATGTACTCTGGTGGAACATTCCTACTTGTGCAGAGGTGAGTGAGCACTTAGAATTTTTATTTCTGGTTTCTTGTCTGTAATTACTGTACAACTGGAATTACATCTCCCTGGTCTTACTGACCTTTACCATGATTTTTAGTCAAGAGTTTATAGGGAGCAAACCAGTTCCTTTTTGTAGTCATCCTTTTCTCAGGTGGATCGTTAAACATTGACAGGTATTTTTGTGTGTTCTTCATCTCCATGATCTGGAATTGGGTCAGAGCATGTTCCATGATCCATGTGCCATGTGTTCAGAAAGCCTGCAGAATCAGTATCCCTGATCTCAGAGACCATCTCCTACAGTCATTTAAAAATCTTGCTTATTGGAGCTGTCTCTCACTGTCTGGTGTTTGCTGTTTCATAATTTCCCAGGTGGACGACGAGGTCCCAGAGAAGATAGACTGTGTCTGAGACTGATCGAGAGAGAGAGCACAGTAGGAACGTTGCTGAAGGCACAAGCAGGGAATGCAGTGTCCTGAGAGCCTCTGCTCAACACCATCCCAGACCGCTACTTCCTCATGGGAAAGATATTTAGGATTTTGCCATTATCCACCCAAAACTTTTATAGCACCAAAACAAGACTTTTGCTACAGAACTGAACAGGATAATACTTCATTTTATTTTTGTACCTTTTAATTTTCCTGGTTGTAGTCTTAGCTGTTTAACCCTGAGAATTATTTTTGTGTACACTTCTCAAAATGATTGACTTAAGTTTCCTGACTGAAGAGGAACAAGAGGCTATTATGAAGGTTCTGCAGCGGGATGCTGTCCTGAAGAGGGCTGAAGAGGAGAGAGTCAGGTAAGAGGCCAGAGGAGTCCCCAGGCCTGAGGGAAGGAAGAGGCAGTAAAGTAAGGTATTTTTAAAATTTCAGCCATAAGTGGTAGTTCTGACTTGGAGCCTAAACTTATGGGATCCAATTTTAGACTTACTTCCTGCACAGAAGGTTTTCCTTTTGTTGTCTCTTAATTTACTCCATTGGACTCCTGCTGGAAATAAGGTCTTAATTAAAAACTTAAGCTGGGCGTGGTGGCATATATCTGTAGTCCCAGCTACTTGAGAGCTGAGGTGGAATGATTACTTGAACCCATGAGTTTGAAACTAGCCTGGTGAACACAGTGAGACCCCATCTTAAAAACAAAGAAAACCAAAAAGAAACACTTTACTCCTTCAACTTATTAAACAAATTAAAAATTAAATATAAACAAACATAGACATCTCTCTCTCTCTGTCGCTTTCTCTCTCTCTCTCTCTCTCTCTCTCTCTCTGTGTGTGTGTGTGTTGATTGAGACAAGGTCTCGTTATGAAGCCCAGGCTAGCCTTCAACTTATAGTTTTCTTGCTTCCCACTGGGATTACAGGTATGCAACACCATGCCCAGTTGCATGTGTGTGTATTTTTATATCTACTTTGTAAAACCGAATCCATGTTTCCTTTGGTACTAAGTTATGAATTAAGTCAGGTTTTTTTCTTTTTTTTTTTGCGGCACTGGGGTTTGAACTCAGGGCCTCATGCTTAGCACTCTTATTGCTTGACCTCCCCCTTTTTTTTGTGATGATTTTTATTTTTTATTTTTTTTTAAGATAGGGTCTCAAGAACTATTTGCCTGGGCTGGCTTTGAACCGAGATCCTCCTGACCTCTGCCTCCTGAGTAGCTAAGATTACAGGTGTGAGCCACTTGTTACCAGCAGTTAGATTTTTTTAATTTCTAAAATTTAAAAAAAAATAGAGAAGTAGTTCATATTTATACATACTTTCAAAAATGCTGGAATTGGTTTTAATTGCAAAATTAAAAGTATTCTCTGACTATGTCAATTTTTCATTTGGCTTGAGTCCCATGAAAAGGAGTCACAGCTTTGATACACTAGCCTTGTCGGGTGGAACCCAAATGTTACATGCCAGCATTCCTGCAGCTTTCACTCCCCTTTGTGGTAGAAAGAGCTAGATCAGTCAGGGTACCAGTGGCTCATGCCTGTAATCCTAGCTACTCAGGAGGCAGAGATCAAGAGAATTGTGATTTGAGGCCAGCCTGGGCAAAAAGTGGGACCCTATCTCAAAAGTACTCAACACAGAAAAGGGCAAGCAGAGTAGCTCAAGTGGTAGAGCACCTGCTTAGCAAGTGTGAGGCTGACTTCAAACGTCAGTACTGCCAAATAAAAAAAGATACTAGAGCAGGCTGATAAATATTAGTCCAGGCCCTACCATTTACTATCTGTGTAATCTTGGCCTTCCTGATGTAAGTTAATAGTGTTAACTTTGTGCTCCCTGTCCTAGGAGTTATCCGAAAGGAACATAAGCCATGTTATTACATTCTGGAATACAAGGACCACGAATAATGGATTTATTTGCACCATTTCCTATATTTTGGTCCTAATTTGACCAAGCGCATGCTGAAATTCACTTCAAACACTGCAGAGTATCTGATTATTGCTACTGATAATTACTGGTACATAACAGTGCTTAACAAGTTGCTGAGGTCATAATATACCCATTGTTTCTTATGAGCTCACACACTCATGTGCAGGTGGGAGGTGGAGTGGGGTATAATTGCCCCATTTGATATGTGAGGAAATTGACTTTAAGACAGAACAGGTGACTTGCCCAAGACCACAAAGCCCTAAGAAGTGAGAGTCAAATCCTGGTCTTCATGGTCTTCATGTGTTCGCACGCTCGCTGTGCCTCCTCTCTCAGACGTCTGGCAATGGAGTAGCAGGTGGCTGTCATGGTGTGGTCTAAGGTAGGACTGTGAGCTTCAGTCATGATAATGGGCCGTGCTCTTCCCCACAAGTCACTCAAAATCCTCCACGTACCTAGGTTCTTAGCAAGTGGTGTACCTCGAGCTTTTTCCCCAGAAGTGGTGGAAGATGGACATTAATCCAGCCATCAAAGTCTCTCAGTCGCATTAATCTTTACCACCCACAGTTTATAAAGCCCTTTCGTGAATGTTATCCTCATAGCAACCCTGAGATTTATCAAGGCAGGGACTGTTACAGCCAAGTAGGAACAAAGCACCAGCACTCTGCAGTCACAGCAAACATGCTGTGAGTCCCTTGGCAGTGTTTGGTCTGCAGTTTCTGAGGGTGCCCAGCTGCTACCAAAGGTGCAGCCCTTCTTTATTGCTTTTGTAAATAAGTGGAAGAAGCCTTGGGGTGGTGGAAAAAAGCATAGTGTGAGTCAAGCTCTATCTACTAACACTTCTTTGTGGGACTTTGTAATTAGATACCAAGCCTCTCTTATGGAGTGGGCATAGACAAGTCTAGGACCCTGAGGCTGTGGAGGCATGACAGTTGGCATATGGACATAAGTCAGTGGCCTGTGTACCCTGAAAGAGCCCAACCCATGGCCTTTCAGTCCCTTCTTCGCTTTAGGACTGAAGGGACTTGTAAGGATGGTTAGGAGGCCATTGTACTCCTGAGCTACAACTGAGTCTCTCATCTCTGAAAGTGCTACTCTACGTGCTTTTGCTTATTCAACCCTTTTCCATCCTTCAGCTATTCATCTCTGCCTGTTTCATCAGTTATAGCTAAACCACTCTGGAAAGGAGACTTTTTGATCCATATCAGTCATTTTATAGACAAGAAGATCAAGCCCAGATAGTGGAAATGACTTGGCTGGGGTTAACAGTCAGAATGATGCCAAAGTCATAAGAAAAGCTCTTGGTCCAGTGCTTTTCCTTCTACCCCATGCTGCTCATTATCATTTTTCTTCCAGAATGGGCCAATAAGAGTTCACTCATGACAGAGGGAAATAATTCCCGTGTGAACCTTGAAGTCAAATCTCATCTGTACCACTAATCAACTGTGGGTTATTGGCCAAGCTGTTTAACCTCTCTGAGCCTCAACTAAAACATTGGGAATGACTATAATATGACATTCAAAAGATTAAAAATCAGGATTAGGTAAAATAATTCTTAATCTTTCTGGTGTGTAATTCGTGATGGATACATTTTTAGTTCCCTTATTCATCACTCAACCTATGCCTATAAAAATGGACATAAGACTGGTTCATAGTATAATACCTTAGCAGGGAATTACTCCTAAAACTTTAGTTACTTGATGCAATGAAATTTTATTGAGCACCTTTTGAGTGTAAAGGGAATTTTAGGATAGTTGAAAACATGATCCCAACCCTCAAGGAATTTACCACCTCATGGCCTTTATCCACTTAATGGATTATCAATTGCAGATTTAAAATCTAAGGCCAGGCATTGATGGACCATGCCTGTAATCCTGCTTACATGGGAGGCTGAGATTGGGAGGATCATGGTTCAAGGTCAAGCCACGCAAATAGTTCATGAGACTCCCATCTCCAAAATTAACCAGAGGACAGTGGACTAGAGGTATGGCTTAACTGGTGGAGCACCTCCTTTGCAGGTGCAAAACCCTGAGTTCAAACTCCAATTCCACAAAAAAAAAAAACAAAAAAAAAACCTAAAAACTAAATTTTGTTTCCCTAACATGATTTTACATACTCCAGTTTTCCTTATAGTTGGCATGTGGCTTAGAAACATCAATTATATAACTATGCTATTAGCCTAAGCAAAACATCATTAGAAAGGCAAACTTCCCACTGACATTCATCCTGTTCTTTCAGGTGATGATTCTTCATGGACTTGGGAATATAACCTTCCTGTAGTCACGAGGCTGTCACTTACAGACTATAGCATTATTGCACATATGGCCAGACAATGCTTCAGAATCCATTTCAGAATGGATATAGATGAGATTTGTATTTACATTGAAATCTGTTGGCCATTGTGGATACATTCAAGGCCTTGAGTTTTTCACATCCAGTCTCACTCAAGACACTTTGCAGAGGATTTAGTTTGCATGTTACTTCCCCTGACCGCTGCCATCCTGGAATCATGGATGAGAGAAATGAGTGTTACACAGAAGTGTCCAGTTCCTAAATCACCAATCTGTTAGTGGTAGAATATGGACTCGGACATCTGTGAGGCCTCTGTGAAGCTTTTGGGTACAGATGAGAAGACAACAAGAGTTCTAGGTCACTGTTGCCACCACAGCTGTCATGCTGCCTCTCTACCTGTAACCACAAATGTTGGGCTCAAGCTACTATTAGCTCGTGTCCCTAACTTCCAGGTAGAGACATTTCATAGACCAACAGGGAAGCAGACATCAAAATAGATTTTTCTCTTTCTCCCACCCCTGCCCTCTGTCTGTCTGCCTATCTGTCTGTTTCTCCCACCCTGCCCCCCTCCACCTTTTAAGGAAACACTACCATACATGCACATATGTAATTTTAGTCTTTTATGGTTTGAAAATGACACCCTGTAGTGGTGGCGTTTCCTGTGCTTTGTGTCACACTGACAGCAGGAAATTGCTGCATATGTCTGTCTGTGCACCACATCAGCACTATGTTCCCACCCCCATATATCCACAACCACATCTACAGTGATGGCGTTTTTGCAGTAGATACCATCCTAACCACCACCACATCTTATGATCCTCAGCTGCTTCAGGATCTAGTTTCTCTTAAGTGAAGCAGTTGTCACTGAAGAACAGGACCTCTGGCAGTGTTTTCTGTCAAAGCAAAGGGGGAAGGACCCCAACCTTTATCAAGGGGATGTATCACACGTGGTGCTTCACATGCATTTTCTCCTTTCATCCTCAGACAGTGTAGCTGAACTCATCCAACAGATGAGGACATAGAGTTGAAGAGGGTGGGTGCCACATAGGATTAGAGCCTTGCTAATTCACCTCCAAAGCCTGTGCATGGTCCACATCCTATGCTGCTTCTCTGCAGACTGTGGGGATCTACGATGTGTCCACAGTTTTTATTATAAAGAATACTTGCAGTTTATTTTGTTTTCAGATGTGTTGGTTTCCAGAGTCCTTGGTAGAAAGAGTGAGGTTATGATAGCCACCTTAGAAACAAAATCATGTTTGGCTCTCTGAGGCAGGATGGGGTAGTGGAAACAACATTGGCTAAGAGTCAGGCTGGCTTCTAGAGCCAGCTCTGTGTGACCTTGGGCAGTCTCTTAACTTTTCTGGGCCTCAATCATCTCATCTAAAAAAGTGAGACCATTTGTAACTAAGGCATCTTCCAGCTCACACCTTTTTTTTTCTTTTTTTGGTGGTACTGGGGCTTGAACTTAGGGCCTACACCTTGAGCCAGTCCAGCAGTCCTTTTTTTTTTTTTTTTTTTTTTTTGTCTGTGATGGATTGTTTCTCGAGGTAGGGTCTCTCAAACTATTGCCCAGGCTGGCTTCTAACCTTGATTCTCCTGATCTCATCCTCCCAACTAGCTAGGATTACAGGTGTGAGCCACTGGTGCCCAGTGAGCTCTCACATTTTAAACAAACATCTAAGAATACTTAAAAACCACACAGTCTAACCATGATGCCCAGAATACACTGGGGGATTAAACAAGAACAACAGAAACAACAAAAGGCTGGAGAATGAACCCATCTCTCTGGCAGGCCACAGTTGACTCAATAATATCAACCAGGTCCTGTCTATGATGTGAGGCCTCCGCTGATCATGTTGAAGAGCTAGAAGCAGAATTGCTCACATGTGAGCACAGGAGCAAAGAGATGGTGGTGGAGGAAAGTACTGAAGCCAGTGTGAGGGGCACCACTGCTCTTCTGGCTTTCCTCTGTGAGTCCACACAATCTCTATGAACTGCAAAGACTCAACATTGGCAATTAGGACTGTGGATTGAATTTTTATGCACATTTCCAAGCATGTCCCTGATAGGGACTGAATGAATGAACAAATAACCAGACAGGGCTTATCTGCAGCCTTTACAGAGCAGCAGAATGACCATCTTCTGCAGTTGACGAAGTTCTTTATATATCGTGGTGGAATTGTAAGGATCAAATGACATGATTTGTGTTAAATGCCAAGCCAAGCATGTGCTCAGTACAAAGCAGATGCTGTTAAAGTGCTAGCAGAAAGAATGGGGTAGGAGAATGGCTGGGGCATTTTGCCTGAAAGCCTGGTAGGACACTGTCCGCTGTGGGTAGAGTGCTCTTGTGCCTTCACTTTTGCCCACCAACCCACCAGGGTTAATTGAACATCTTCTTTATGTGCACCTCTCTCCTAGACACAATGTGCATGTGTTCAAAGAATGATAAAGGATAAAGAGTGTTAGTCCCAAGAAATTTACCCTTTTCCCCCTTCTACTAGATGGTACAGCAGTTAGAAAATCCAATGTTAATTTGGTTGGTACAATTGCAGTTCAGAAATAAACAAGAGATCAACGTGGAGTATTATATTGGAAGAGAAGATTTTAATGGCACCACAATGGAATTTATTTTTTTAATGGTCTGTATCTTGACAGAAGTTGGTCTTTGATGTCACACATATGGAGTCATCTACAAAATATTTTATTAAACCTAGTAGTGATAATCATGTTAGGAAATACATAAGTGGCAGTTACTAAATTTGAAAGAATTCTTATTCTTTTGCTGCTTTAAAACAAGAGTTTAGAAACTCTGTCCTTACCATAATGGCTACCATTCTTTTGGGGGATTGTGTGTTTCCTTGGGTCTGACTCATGCAGCCTATGCTCACTGTGTATTGATGAAGGCCTTGCAGGCAGTCATTTAGGGTAGAACAGATCCAAGTTGTGCAAGGATTGTTACAGAGTGCCTTTCAGTTGGATAAAAATAACCTCATGAAGAGAATTTAGGAGTAGTTATACTGTGAGGGGTTGTGATTTCCTTCCTCAATAATGCTGTCAGCTGTCATATTCCATGATGTTTCTTCCTATTCAGAGGAGAGACAAGCATGTCCTGTCTCTTCAGGAGAAGATTGTGCCATGTGAACCTCAGCAGTGGCTAGAGCTTCATTATCTCTTGTCTGAGTCAGACTGGGGTGACTGCTGAGCACTTATTTGTTCATGGATTTATTCACTCAACAAACACTTAATGAGTATCAGCTCTGTGCCAGGCTCTGTGCTATGTGCTAGGTTATGAAGGTGATTAAGATGAACTCCTTGTCTTCAAGGAGTTTGCAGAGTCCACAGAATAATGGGTGAAACAGATGTGCAAATAGATCATTGGGACACAGTGTGGTGAGTGCTAAAGGGGAAATGCTGTGGGAGTATGGAAAAGGGTAAAGTGGACCCTTCTCCAGCTGGATTTGCAGGAGCTGTAGGATGAAGAGCCATGTGCTAGACAGGGAAGCAAGGGAAGGCATCCCCAGAGGCTTCACATTCATTGGCCTCTTTCCAAGATCCAGGCACTGTTAAGTACATCCAAGAAAATATTTCAATTTATTATTCCAGAAGTCCTTCAGGATAGGACTTATTTTTCCCTGGCTTTCCAAGCAAGGAGACTGAAACTTAGAATGGTTCATTAACTTATCCATAGTTACATCTGGGAAGGAATCAAAAATGAGATTTGAACCTATTTTGGGGGGGGTCTCCAAATCCATAGTTTTTCTACCATACCTCCTTGCCTCTAATGTCTACAAGTCACAAAAAAGCAGTTTGGAGGACATTAAGTTGAATATGCTGGGAGTAAGTGCTGGAAAATGAATCTGAAAAGGTAACCTAAGCCAGATGGCCAGGTATCTCATATGACATTCATTCCTTTACTCTGCAAGCACTAAATAAATACCCATTGTTTTCCATATACTAACCAAAGAGGTATTGAATATAGACCTTGCCTCCAGGAACTCAGTCTGGCAAGAGAGAGGTGGAAGGACTTTTTTCTTCTAAGATTAGACTCATATTTTGTTCTGTTGGGAGGAGGAACCAGCAGCCCAGCAGAGATTATCTGCCTTGCTCAGAGCCTTAATAGGAAGCCATTAGAAATCTTTAATAAGAGCCATAATCTCTTTGGTGACTCAGAATCATGAAGCAATGATGCTGTCCCTGTCAGGGTTTAGAAATGGTCTATAACGTGTGACTAGGGATTGTTATTGGTGATGTTCGGGATAGGATCACCTTCTTCCTAGGTAACTTGGAGCAAAGAGGAAATCCCAGCAAAGTATGCTCTGAGTGGATGGACATTTTCCAGGCACACTTGAGAAAGAGGAAATGTTCTTGCTAGCTTGGGTAATGCCCACTCCTTGACTCTTGGGAATGTCTGTGTGCAGCCTTCTACCCTGCCCTGCCTATTCACGTTCTCTGCCTAAAATACAATTGCCATCTTAGGAAGCTTGAATGATGATCACAAAACCCCCTTGGACTTGTATAGTACATTATCTTCCAAGAGTTCAAATTTTACGTAAGGCCTTTATTCCACTTTATTCTATTCTATTCCATTTTATTACTCTCTATGAATAAGAAAAGATAGATTTGTGATTCTCATTTTATTGGGATAAGAGATGCAGAGGTTAAAAGACTTGCCAGTTAGGACAATGATTTTCCAACCAGTATAAATTAGGAAAGTTTTAAGAGGGCAGCATTTGGTCTATTGTTTATGTTTTAGCTTTTCAGTGAACATGAATGACTGTGGAACTCTTAAAAGCAGTCTCTACAAAAATGGATTGTCTGCACACCCCTCCTTCTCCAATTTGGTCTTCCCTGATTCTGACCTGCTTTAAAAGCACCAGGAACATCAGGCCCCCTTCCTTTCCATGCTTCCAAGAAAATTTCTAATAAGCTCATTTTAACCAAAATGGAAGGGACTGATGAGCTGGTACCCGTGCCTCCAGTTATTCAGTGAGTGTTTATTAGGTACTACATAGGTGCATAGGCTGTTTATATGTGTTAATTTATTTAATCCTCAGAGCAACTCTTTTTTGCAGATAAGGAAATCAGTGCTTAGGGAAGCTAAGCTCCCTTGCTGGAGTACTTGCATTTGAACAGTAGACATAGAAGACTGCAACTAAGAAGTGAAGCTGCTATTGAGAAATTTCAGGCATCATCTGAGCATCATGGATTAAACTTTTGTATTTTAAAAATGCTGGCCTTTACATTTCTTTCTGAAGAGGAGCAATTAAATCATCTGGGAGGTTTGCAGCATCTAAAATATTAAGAGCTTCATTTTGCCTGGATGTTTACAAATTTCTTTATGTAGTGTCACAGTGAACTCATTTATTTGCTGTGGGGTCTCAGCAAACTCTTTTCTTTTTGTAGACATTTGCCTGAAAAAATTAAGGATGATAAGCAGCTGAAGAACATGAGTGGCCAATGGTTTTATGAAGCCAAGGCAAAAAGGCACAAAGACAAAATCCATGGTGCAGATATCATCAGAGCTTCTATGAGAAAGAAGAGGCTCCAAGTTGCAGGTGAGTGATTGGGCCGGTGTACTTATAGTCAGCATTTGGGAAGGAGGTGGAGAAGGGTGTGAGAATCATTACTTAAATCTACAGAGGGAAATCATTTGGAGGTATGCTTTGCACAATGTGTAGCCCTCTGGCTCAAAGTCTTCTGGTCCTAGATTTGAATGGATGAGGGCAGGGCCAAGAGACTTAGCGTGGTGTAAAGGAACATAGGAAGCCCTTTAGTGACCATGTTTAGTTTTAGTAGCCTAGCTACGAGGGGTTTATAAGGGATCTACCACCTCTTCTTTGGCTTTTAACTCTGGAAATTCACAACCTTCTGAGTGAGGTAAAAGATTTAGACAGAAAGAGATCAGTCTTCCTGTTCAATGATCTTGTTGTCTGGTACTCTTTAAATCAACCAAGTACATTATTTAAGGGACTGTACAGCTAATATTTTGAGGGCTTATTTACAATTCTTTGAATTCATTATTTACTTGATGCCTTCTCTCTAACTCTAGGTTAGTTAGTATATTCCCAGTCTGGGTCCATTCTTTAAGCAATAAGGAAAATAGCTATTACTTTTGGAGTATCTAATACAAAATAGGCATTCATTCTCTATTATTTCTAATTGTAGCAGCAGTCTTGTAAGGTAGGTATATTTTTCCCATAGACTTTCTTGGACAAGTAGAGGGTAAGTTGCCCAAGATCATATTGTTAGCAAATGGTATTGAAATAGAATTTCGAATCATTATGACTCAGTGCCACACTCCTTGTAAATGAGGGCTGGCTGTTAAGTATGTACAGTACATTGAATGTAGCCCTCTTGCTTTTCCAAATCACCCAGACCTTAAGAAATCTTAAGGGGTACTGCTTAGAACTGTAGACTCCATTTTGCAATTGAAGAATAGGATTTGTAGGGGATACCAACCTGGAATGTATTTGGAAACTCCAAGCCTGAGTATTGCTTCAGAATCTTTTTAAACCAATGAAGTATTCATGGCACTTACTTGCTATGTGGTCTTAGGCAATTTTCTTGAACATTTTGGTCCTCAATTTCAAAATTTACAAATGTGAAAAATAGCTCCTACCTCATAGGGTAATGCCTGCAAAGAGTTCTTCACAGTGCCTGATAATTAGTCCTCACTCAGTTGATACTAATTATTAGAGAGGTTCAGGTAAAGAAGGAGTCTTAGGTGTTTTGAGGCAAAATAGGTTATTTCCTGAAGATGAAGTACAGAGGTTTTGTATGGTTCTGACATCTGAGCTGTCTGCTGAGGAATATGAGGAATTTGGACATGTAGGCAGAGAAGGACATTCTAGATGAGAATCAATTGTTACCCTTAGCATCCCAGAAGCAAGCATAGTATAGGACACTCTGTAGATGTTAGATAAATGCTTAGTAAGGATAGTTCTTCTATCCCAATGAGTGCTCCCTGTCCTTAGCATCCCTTGATTATATACATTCAGTTCTGATTCCAATTTAGGTCAGATTAACCTAGAGGCAGTAAGAATTTTTCTTTAGGGTCTCTAGAGTTTCAGGTACATTTAAAGGTACACCCATGCTCTCAGGAGTCTGCTTGGGAAGGAGGGAGGAAGGAAGCTAATGTCGTGAGAATCTACTGACTTCTCTCATAGATGTAATTCTGACCCTGAGACTCAGGGATTTCCTTGGCATTCAGAGGGCCTGAAGTTCAGATTTAAGCCCTTAGCGATAGGAGCAGATAAGAGATGTATAGATTGTGGAGGTAAGAGGTAACCTGCTTGTCTTTTCGTTTCTGTTTCAGCTGAGCAGAGTAAGGATAGTGCAATCCAGGTAAAGAAAAGCTGGGTGAATAATGTCAACAAAGATGCTTTCCTTCCCCCAGAGCAAGCTGGTGTTGTAGAAGACCCAGAAGAGAATGCAACACCAGCAAGCACAAGGTAAGAAGAAGCTTGTTGGGAGCGCTCCTACTTGTGAGTAGGTTTCATGACTTGGTGTGCTGTACAGGCAGAATGGCAGGCTATAAGTTCAAATCCTGGACTGGTGTTATGGGCTTGGGGAAGGGGTAGTGCATGAAAGAATTCTGGGTCCTGACGGGGACAAAGTTTGGGTAATGCTCTTTCCTAATTTCTAACAAATCTGAATCTTAAAATATTAAGTGACAATTTCTTTCGGCACCAGCAATAACCATTTTTTAATTTGTAGTAAGGCTTTTCCCCTAGAGTAGATTAAAGAGGTACTCCAAAATGAATAGAGGGGAATTAGTCATTTCAGGGAAGAAATGAATTATGACCACATTGTAATGGCTTGGTGCAATACAAGCAGCCTGAGCATAGGAACCAAGCAGACTAAATTTAAATTCCGAATCTATCATTTATTAGCCCTTAGGACCATGAGGAATGACTTGCTCATGGTTTCTACATCTATTTTCTTAATCCTAGACTGAAATGATAATGAACCCAAAAGACTAAGGTAAGAATTAGTGATAATGTATGTAGACTACGTGGCACACAGTAGATACTTAAAATATACCTCTTAAAAATTCAGTGTTAGGTGATTATAATCTTAGCTACTCAGGAGATGCTGGTTTGGGCAGAAAAAGTTAGAGTCTATTTCAACCACTAAACTAGGTGTGGTGGCTACATGGGAAACATAGGTAAAAGGATGGCAGTCCAGGCTGACCGGGCATAAAGGTGAGAACCTATGTGAAAAATAACTAAAGCAAAAAGGACTGGGGAGCATGGTCAACTGGCAGAGTGCCTGCCTAGCAAGCACAAGGTTCTGAGTTCAAGCCCAGTGCCTCCAAAAAAATTTGCAATATTTCATTTTTGATTTTGGTGTTTTCCACATATGTTTTCATTTGACCAACTAAAATGTGGATTTTTATACTATGAAATAGCCAATTATGGGGTTATGTTGCCCCAACCCTTTTGAGACATGTTAATTTTTTTTATCTATTTAATGGTCTTCTTTTGGTGTCTGTCCCTTGAGAGTATAGTGAGAGGAGTGGTTACATTTATCTCTAGCTTCCCAGTTCAGAACCTCCAATGGGATGAAGTTGATGGCCTTGCTGGTGAAATAGCCAGTGTCAGCATTCAAGGCTGAGGCACCTAGAGTAGGGGTATTTCCAATATGCTTGATAGATAAGGGGGAGAATATATAAAATAGAACCAATAAGCATTGCAAAGTCAAATATGAGTGAAGTTCTGCCACATGGTAAATGGAATGTTGATATGCTAGTAAAAAATAAAAAGTGGAATTAAAGTCCTCATTACTTACCCATTTCCCAGTTGTTTCCCATGAATGGCAGGCGCCTGTGTTTCCCCCCAGGGCTATTTATAATGTCCTAATGTTCTGCTTTATCTATAGAGGGCATGTTGGCTAGAGGGTGAGACACTTCTGTAAGTAGCCACTAATTGACACTATGACCCCACAGAAGTACTAACTTAATTTCTTGGGCTTTTTATTTCCACCACTGTAAAATGGGACTAATAATAGTTTTGTAGAATTGTTAGGAACTTAATTAACTAGTGAATGGAGAATTCTTAACACAATGTTTATCACATAGTAGATGTCAGAAACCTGAAAGGTAGGCTCTTAAACACACACAGATACTTCAGGAAGTCCAGGAAAGGGTGTGAGGGCACTCTTTTCCCCTTGGTATCTCCCCATTTACCATTGCTGCCTGCAATCTCCCTAACAGATGAAGGCCTTACTTTCATAAAGAAAGAAAAGACCTAAAGTATTAGAAACCCTGGAGACAGAAAACATCCATTTAGATTCACCACCAAGGAGCTGAGAGCAGCTCTTAGGATCCAGGCATGATTGGGGCTCAGGTACACCAGAACATTGACCAGCTGAAAGGAGGAGATGATTTGGGGATATCTGAGACAACTCAACTCTTTGAACAGTTTATCCAGGGTAGACTTCCCATCCTTCTTTCAGGGACTCATTCCATCTCAAAAGGGCTTGCGAGGCAGAGGTACCTGACTCAGTTTCCTCTTTCCCCCACTGGGCTGATGGATATGTCTTCCTCACTTACAGGCTAAGGATATAACTTCCATGATGTGTGTACCCATCATTTTCTGCATTCTTTCTGTAATGTTAGACAAGTCTTTTGGGTCTTACCTATAAATCAGAACAGAGTGGCTCACCATGATGTTTTGAGATTAAAGCAGTTCTCAAGAAGATGGAAGATTGGCAACTTTCAGGTGGCATTATAATTATTCTATTTATTATTACATTGATAAAATTTGGTTGAGAAGGCCAGAATAAGGTATTAGATATATCCAGCATGCTCTGCTTATTAAAGGCCAACCCTATATTATGTGACATGAGTGGTAATCATTCAGAACTTTAAAAGACGGTATTTTTTACTTCCTTCCTTCCATGTCAAAAACTACCACTTTATCTGGTATCAAGTTCCTGCAATGTTTTCACACTTTAACCTTTGTGAACTGGGTGTGTTAAGTGTATTTTGGGGCCTGTACTTTTAGACTAAGTGACTTTCAGTAGAATGACTCAATACCTGTCAATATTTTCTTAGCAGGAGTTGGTGAGTATGAGACTATAGTGGCTCTGAGGAGGTTTTTTTTTTGTTTGTTTGTTTGTTTTTTTATTTTTTTTTTAGATAGGCTTAGTGGCAAGGTCCATCATTGTGCTGTGGGCACAATTCCATGGGGTCTCCCCATGAAGAATTAAAGTACTATGGATACCCAGCATGTAGTCATGGGCAGCTAACCTGCATTCTTTATGAATTCACCTTTGTTTGCACAAGGAAGCAGAGAGGTTTATGATCAGAGAACATAGTTCCTTTAGAGCAGCAAAGGGAAAACTCCAAACACAGCTCTAGTCCTGGTTACTGACTTTCAGCTGGACAGTGTTAGCTGAACCAGCACTCCATAAACTATAGTGGAGAATCTGTTTCATTTTATTTTTAAATTTTTGTTTCTAATCATTGCAGCCTAATATCTTTTGTAAAAGAAAAATTAAATTCAGAAACAATAGCATGCTGTGGACCACTGATTATAATCTGGAATGTCTCAGCAAATTGCTATAAATGGCTCTCAATGCATACTCTCAATTTCTCTATACATCTTGTTGTGAATCACTGAAAAGTACTGTATGGACTGGCACTGGTCCATGAACCACCCACTGATAGCACAGTATGTCCCTTCCTCAAAATAATGTTGAATACATACACAATAAGCCATAGATCATGACTGAGTCAAAGTGGAGAGTACAGAAGGAGACATGAGAAGCTTCTCCCATGTGGGTCAGGACCTTGCCCATATATGAGGAATAGTCCTGACTTCAGAGGTAGGACTGCTATGTGACATGAAGATCCCTCTGTGTTACTCTAGACTGTACGTTCTGTAAAACAAGCTCTGGGAACCACTTAGAATATAGTAACCTCTCTACTGACCAGGGCTTTAGATGTCTGTGTTACTGGCACTTCTTTGGACGGAAGGAGCCTGAAAATGGAATGGCCTTTTTTTTCTCTCTCCTTCTCTATCCTATTCTTCTAAGACCACCTCTTTGAGGACCGGCCCCTTGATGTCTTACAGTGTTTTGAATCTGTGGATACAAATGGGCCAGCCTAGACCTCTGAAAAATGATAGTTACACACATCTTCTAAGTTCCAAACAGTCTTATTATTTCTCCCTTCTGACTCCTTCTCCACCCTTCCCTATCCCATATCCCTTATTTGCTTGATGGCATTGTTCTTTCTCCTTGAAGGGATCTAGCAGAATTCTACCCTAAAGAGTACTTGACTTTTAAAAATAATGAAAACCTGTATTATACATTGGAGTTTTAATTTTCTTTCTCTCTCTCTCTCTCTTTTTTTTTTTTTGGCAGTACTAAGATTTGAACTCAGAGCCTTGCACTTGTCAGGCAGGTGCTTTCCCAATTGAGCCATGTCCTCAGTCATTTTCTGCCTTAGTTATTTTTCAGATAGGGTTTTTGCCTGGGACTAGCCTCAGACTGCAATCCTCCTGATATTGGCCTCCCAAGTAACTGAGGATACAGGTATGAGCCATCATGCCTGGTCTCTACCTTCCTTTTCTTAATGGTCACCTTACTGAAACATGAGTTCAAATGTGCTTGTGTCATCATAATATAAAGCTTCTCATCTGGTGTATAGCACAGATGAAACATTACAATAAGGCTGGAATCAGGATCTGACCAGTACCTGGCTCCCATACTGTGCAGACTTTCTATTAGAAAAATGCCCAGTACAGATAGTTTCTAAAAGATTTAAGAATTACTTTGTCTTAGCCTCCTTATAAAGATCAGAATCTTCAACAAAAGGGGCGAGTTCATAGGTGGAAAGAGGATGATATTAGGGGTAGTGGGCATCTCAATGTTCTGACATCACCCTAAGAAAACAGGCCTAGCAATGTTGCCTAACTAGGCACCTGTCAGATACTTGATCGACATATCAGTCAGAGGTCAGCAACTACTTTTTGTAGCAAAAGAAACCAATCTGAGCCAAAAGAGTTAGGAAAGACAGGAAAGGAAATATAAGAGTGAAATGGTATTGGAGGCATGGCTCAAGTGATAAAAAACCTGTCTAGAAGCACAAGGTCCTGAGCTATATGTGGAGAAAAATGGGCTAAAGAGAAGATAAATAGATATGGATTATAAGGATATAACCATTAATCCATAGGTTGCCTAGGATATTTATTGGAAATAAAGTATTTAAATGTCCTTGTCTGTGTAATCACAGTAAAAGCACTGAGCTAATGTCTTGCTAGCATCCAGTAGAATAAATCATTCTGTAGGAATGAACCAGTGTTCATTCTTCACTCAGTTATTTATTCGGTCAGCAAACATTATTGAGTTTTTATTATGTACAAGATGATACTAAGAAATTCAAAAAAGAATAAGGTCTAGTCCCTGTCTTTGGGGAACCCATTGTTTGGAGAAGTGGCTGACA